CCCTCTTGATAGCGGTGGAGCCAGGTGGCCCATGGGTAAGCAGGTAGAAATGAGTCCGCTGAAGCAGCGAGGCCCTCAATCCTGTACATCATGAACTTCCTGTTGCCTCCCCTCTCAGCTTCCAGTATATGCTCTTCACTTGGTGTTTTCGACTTCAGAATGTGAACTTTGGAGTCCCAGCACCTAGGCCGGAACCCCTGGCTGTGGCACTCACTAGCTGGGGGAGCTTAGGCAAAACACTTTAGGCTTCCTAGTCTGTAAAATGATGATAAAACACCTATCTGCCTTGCAAGGTGGTCATGGTGATTAAAAGAGAGATGAAGTAAAACGCTTAGTCGACAGTGACTGAACTTGACGAACACAAGTGGTTGTCATCATTTCTGAATGGCATGCATAATACGGCCCTGCTGCTACCATGTTTGCCCCCTTGGGCAAATGCTGTCCTGGTGGTCCCGTCGGGCTCCAGCTATCCTTGCCTCTTGGCATTCCCTTCCTCTCCTAGCCCCATCCCTGCTCCGGCTGCCTCAGTCCTCTTCTCTTCTCCGGGACCCCGGCTAGATCTCATCAAATTCCCCGCCTTCTGTCAGTCCTTATTCCCTTATCTTTCTGCTAAGGGCTTCCCCCAGAGTATCTCCAGCTGAGCCCCTTCACTGAATAGATTAATATTCTTAAGTCCCGGTGAATGTGTCCCTCTAGATGGTTAATGGGATCCTCAACATCAATGTCTTCTTGGTTCCAAAAGCAGTTTGTCCTCCCTGGATTCTTCACCTTAGTGAATTTTTCCATCATCTCCCAGTTCCTCAGGTCAAGGAGAAGCTCCTTCCTCTCTCATTCTCCAAATGCCTACCTCACCATATCTTACCAAATTTATCCTTCTACAATTCCCTCCAATCCATCAAATCATCTCTGTCTTCTCCTAGTCACTGCCATAGCCGAGGCCACCACTAGCTCTGATTAAAGGACCCAAAGTCCAACTAACAATAGCAGTCCTGGGGCACCTGCGTGATGCAGTTGGTTAAGCATCGGACTCTTGGTTTTGGCTCAGGTCATGATCTCAGGGTCGTGAGACTGAGCCCTGTGTTGGGCTCTGTGCTCAGCAAGGAGTCTGGGAGTTTCTCCCTCTGCCTCTCTGTCCCATGTGAGCACACACCCGCTCTCTCTCTCTTTCTCTCTAAAATAAATAAATCAAATTTAAAAACAAAAACAAACCCAATACCAGTTACATGGCAGACTTTTCCAGCAACCAGGTTGGACATGATGAGGCTTTTGTTTGTTTCTTTTCCTTCAAATTTTACGATGAGACTTTTGAAGAGAACATGAATTGCTTTTTGCCTCTCTTTTCTTTATGACTCCTTTGAAAGCGGGAAATTATTTACATACCTAAAACAGATTTTGATACTGACTGACATAAAAAAATTTTGGTACTACCTCACCCTAGTTTCTCAAACCGACCAAGTCATTCCAAAGTTTCCTAAGACGTTCGGATTTCACAGAAGAGTGGCAGGAATGTCAACTCTGTCCTACTACCAAACAGGTGTCAAAGTTGTCACTAAAATGCCTGTGGTAGTTTGGGAAGCCCTTGAAGGCACCGGACAATTCCTTGTAGTCCTCCCCACACATGCTCACAGTGAGAATCAGATTTTGTTGCCCTAACCCTGTGGGGCAAATCTCCAAGATGGCTGCTGAGGTAAGGCAGCAATGTCCTGCCAAGACCTGACCCTCTGCTGCGTGAGAATGATTGAGTTAATAGGCCCCACTTCCTCAGAAAGTGAGTTTGCATACATCTGTTCGCCCTGCTTATGGTTTGCTGGCCCTCTGTGAGGGCAGGGGGCTCAGTCAGGCTGAGGAGAGAACCCTTCCTTTGTCAAGACCCAGACCTGCCAGTTGTGTCTCACCTTTGACAGGAAACCAGTTAAGACCAACGAGGGAGGGCCTCCACTGTCCAATACCAGTGAGGGACCAGGCCCCAATTCCCCAGTGCTCTTCCTCTTCTGCTTTCATTCACTGTTTTCCTTCCACACCCTTCAATCTTTGAGTTTGGTGAGTGAGCACTCCACTGTTGTGGTGGGAGGAAGAGAAGTGGGTAGAAATGTGAGGAGAGAGGTGAAGGCAGATCCTAGCCAGTCCCACTAAGCTAGGCCATGGCAGACACATAGGCTGTCCTCCAATCTCAGGGCCATGGGCAGGTCTGGGATATCTTTGGTATTTTAGGTTGTTGGTATCTTCCTTTTGAATCTGATTTAGTATCAGTTCGAGGCATATGATCCTGGGAAGGAAGGGCCCCGACATGGAAATCCGCACGCTCAGGCATCAGCTCAGCCACTAATGGCTCGGACACTCTGGAAGTAACTCTTCCTCTGAGAAGGAATTACTCTGGAAGTAACTCTTCCTCAGGCTGCACCTTTGAAAACAAATCTCAATGGATGAGATGCTGTGTGCAAAGGTGTCATTCCTGCACAGCTCTAAGTCACTGCTGCTTCAGCTTCTAAGTCACAGAGGATCCCACCATGTACTGTTGGTCTGAGCAGGGAATGAGGCCCTGGGCAGGGACCTCGGAGCCTGTATTGATCTCCTAGGGCTGCCCTAACAAAATACCACAGACTGGGTGGCTTAAACAACAGAAACTTATTTACTCACAGTTCTAGTGGCCGGAAGTCCAAGATCTCTTTGTCATCAGGTTTGGTTTCTTCTGAGGCCTCTCTTCAGCTTGCAGATGGCTGCCTTTTCACTGTGTCCTCTTATGGTTGTCCCTCTGTGTTGGCTGTATCCTGATCTCTTATTTGTTGTTTTCTTAAAGATTTATTTATTTATTTTAGAGAGAGCTTGTGCTTGCGAGAGCAGGGGAGGGGCAGAGGGAGAGGAAGAGAAACTCAAGCACACTCCCCGCTGAGCGCAGAGCTGCCTCACAACCCTGAGATCATGACCTGAGTCAAAGCCAAGAGTCTGACGCCTGAGACACCCAGGTGCCCTCTGATCTCCTCTTCTTATAAAGAAGACACTGCTCATATTGGATTAGGGCACATCCTAATGACATTTTCTCTATCTATCTATCTATCTATCTATCTATCTATCTATCTATCTAAAGGTTTTATTTATTTGACAGAGAGACACACAGCGAGAGAGAGAGCACAAGCAGGGGGAGTGGGAGAGGGAGAAGCAGGCTTCCCGCACAGCAGGGAGCCCGATGCAGGGCTCGATCCCAGAACCCTGGGATCATGACCTGAGCCAAAGGCAGACGCTTAATGACTGAGCCACCCAGGTGCCACCCTAATGACATTTTAACTTAAATGCCTCTTTAAAAGCCCTATATGGCCTTTAAATACAGTCACATTCTGAGGTACTAGGAGTTAGAGCTTCAACACAGGAATTTGGGGGAGGGGGTGGGGGACACAGAGTTCATAAAAGGGCCTACTCTGAAAATCTCTGAGTCTGGGGTTGAAAACTGGGGACCCCCTCCCTCAGGAACAGCTACAGTCCACACTGCTCTCTCCCCTTCCCTCTCCCCAAAACTCCTTACAAAGGGCAAAAAGTTTTCAAAAGTATTTCTGCCTCAGTTTCTATTCCCCTCAGTGCATTTTCACCAACCTCTATAATGGTTTCACCTGTGAACAAAAACACAAACTCTGGCCTCTTCCAGGTACGAACAAGTGGTGTTCAAAGATAAGAAGTGGTGTCACCCACGGACTTGCTGGTGAGTCTTGTGCAGGGCCGGCTTTCCAAGGTCCTGTCCCACTCTTCTAGTTAAACCGACTCATTTCTAAGACACCAAGAGGCCTTAAGACTTCCACTTTCGTCTGGTGTACGAATCGCCCCTCTGAAATAAAGTCAAGTCTCTGCCCTCACAGATTCTGGGGCGGACGAATGTAACCAAGGAAGGACAGGAGCAGGGCATGCTGTGCCTTCCATTGGTTCCAGCCGCCCAAGAGCTTGAACTACGAGCGCCCTGCGCTGGGTAACTTCTCTATTACCTGCACCAAGCTGTCTCTCCATCTGGGGTTTTCCTCCCGGACGAACAGGAGTCTCCTGCTGCGGACTGAGCAGGTAACGGTACCGATGGCAGAGCTCCCGCGGAGTGGCCTCGGTTAAAGCGGCCTTTGAACCTTCCCGCTGCGGCAGCTCTGACGAAACCCACACGACTGTCAGAACTGAGGGCCGGGCTACAGAAGCCGGATCCTCTTTGTCCTCTGGTCCATTCCTGCCTGGAGCCTCCCATACTCCCTGCCTTAAGGTTCATTGGCATTGAAAAGGGGGGAGGGGAAAGATTGGGGACAATGAGAATGTCAAGGACTTAAGACCTCTGGCAAAGTCGCTCAGGCGCACGAGGGACTCTTAACAAACTGGGTGGAGTAAGGGGTTGAGTGGCACACGCTAAATAAATCCCGCGGACCCGAGAAGCCAGGCCATTACTGACACCCAACCCGCAGGCAAAGCTCGGGAATGCCGAACTTGAGCCGGCAGAGGCCGGGCGATACGAAGGTGGCGGTTTCCCTCCGCAGCCGGAGCGCCGCGCCTCTCGGGGCCACTTCCGGCGGGGGTGTGGAGGTCGCCCGCGCGCGGCCATGGCCGCGCCGCTTCCCGTGGCCTAAACAGCCCGCCCGGGCCCACCCTGGACGGCGAGTCCCGAGCGTCCCCTAGGGACTCCTCGCCGACTCGGCCCCCTCTCGAGCCCGAAAGCCCCTCCCCTTCTAACAGATTACAACCCCCGGTCGCAGCAGAGCGCGTAAAGACGCCCCCCGCGGCCCCCCCACTCCGAAGGGCCCGAAGAGTAAAGCGAGCGGGCACCGCCGTCTCCCAGGAGCACAACTGGGGGTCCCGGCCGCCCCGGAGTAGGAAGCCAGCAAACAGGGTATCCTCCACCCGGCGCGTGGTCTTTACGCTACCTGTCGGGGGCGCCCGGCTTGACCCCGCCCGAACGTCCCACCCTCCCGCGATAGGGGAGCGTCCGCCGGGAAGGAGCGGACGACTAAGTGGCACAGCTTCTTCCGAGTGCTGTCGTGGGTGGCTCTGAAAAGAGCCTTTGGATGGATAGGATGGAAGCTCGAGCCGGGCGCGCACTTTTAAGCCCGCTCCCCGCGGATGCGGCGGGCCAGCTGGATGTCCTTGGGCATGATGGTGACGCGCTTGGCGTGGATGGCGCACAGGTTCGTGTCCTCGAACAGCCCCACCAGGTAGGCCTCGCTCGCCTCCTGCAGCGCCATCACGGCCGAGCTCTGGAAACGCAGGTCCGTCTTGAAGTCCTGCGCGATCTCGCGCACCAGCCGCTGGAACGGCAGCTTGCGGATCAGCAGCTCGGTGGACTTCTGGTAGCGCCGGATCTCGCGCAGGGCCACGGTGCCCGGCCGGTAGCGGTGCGGCTTCTTCACGCCGCCCGTGGCCGGCGCGCTCTTGCGGGCCGCCTTGGTGGCCAGCTGCTTGCGCGGGGCCTTGCCACCGGTCGACTTGCGGGCGGTCTGCTTCGTGCGAGCCATAGCGAACCAAGACACCAGCTCACCAGCGCAGCGGCAGCGAGAGTAACGCGGCCGCCGCCCGCCGCACCAGTCTTTATAGGCACCGTCTTTTTCCGATTGGGCGGGACAATAATTGAAAGTCCCGCGCTGGCTGTCCATTGGCTATGACGTCACCCGCCCTGCCGCCACCCATTGGCTTGGGCAGAATCCTCCCCACCCCCGCCCACCCGCCTCGCTCAGTCCGCTTTCCAGTTTGCCAACAGTCTTCCCTACCTTGTTTTTCCTTTCTTTTCGGCCGGCGGGGGAGGCCCACTTGGGTTCATAACCGTGTCAGAATGTTGTTCCTCCTCGGCCCTTCGCCCCCGTAGAACACCGCTCCGCACCCCCTTCCTCCCCACGCCGTCTCCCCAATTCAACCTCAAACTTGCGTTTGCTCCCCGTCCCCCAAAACGCCTTGTGACCTTTGAGGAGCCCCCTCGTTCGTCTGACGGATCTTTTTTCCCGCCTGCCGGTGGTTTTCAGATTGGAAAATTGTCTCGCCCACCGCCCACCGCCTCTCGAGCGCAAGATCCCGCCTCCAGAAACCTGTACCGCCGCCGCGAGGGCCGTCCCTCACTTTTACTGGACTAAGACAGCCGACTCAGTTAAGCCAAGGACCAGGTCCGCCCCTGCCGACTGGGGGCGCACGTGTGTGCCGGGCAAAGGCCTCGGGAACGCGGCGAGCTGCGCACTCGGCACCGGCACCCACTCCTGAGACAGGAGTCGGGGACCGCCTAACAGTACTCGAGACCCAATCGACCGTGGCTGCCCCCAAGGAGGTTCGGCCCCTCTACCAACCAAAATGAAGATGGTCGAGCGCTCAGGGTTCGAGAGGCGAGCAACGCGGGAGGGACAACCCCCTCGCCTCGCCTCGCCTCGCCTCCGTGTCTCCGGGGGGCTCAGCATACTACTTGGCAAAGGCGGAACGGAAAAGACTGGCTACTGTTAACAACTCTTTTATTTGAGAGAGTGGGTGGCTCTTAAAAGAGCCTTTGATTTCACAGTTGCCCCCTTCGAGACCAGGGCTGGCGGGGCTTCCCGACGCCGGCCTCACTTGCCCTTTGCCTTGTGGTGACTCTCCGTCTTCTTGGGGAGCAACACGGCCTGGATGTTGGGCAGAACGCCGCCCTGGGCGATGGTGACTTTGCCCAACAGCTTGTTCAGCTCCTCGTCGTTGCGGATGGCCAGCTGGAGGTGGCGGGGGATGATGCGCGTCTTCTTGTTGTCTCGGGCCGCGTTCCCCGCCAGCTCCAGGATTTCCGCCGTCAGGTACTCCAGCACCGCGGCCATGTACACCGGCGCGCCGGCCCCCACCCGCTCGGCGTAGTTGCCCTTGCGCAGCAGGCGGTGCACTCGGCCCACCGGGAACTGCAGGCCGGCGCGGGACGAGCGCGACTTGGCCTTGGCGCGGGCCTTGCCTCCTTGTTTGCCACGACCAGACATGACAGCGACGCTCGCGGCCAACACCTCCCGCTTGACGACCGAGAAAGTCGCCGCAAAGCCCACCGCTTCACCCTTTTATAGGCAGAACCCGGATTGTCTACGGAGCACTTCGATTGGCTCAAGCAGATCTTTGTCCTGACGGCCAATAGGGCGGCTCGGCCAGAATCCGCTCATTTACATAATCTCGTCCCCCGCGCAGGAGCGCCGCCGAAAAATCGCGAATCACGACGCGGCGTAACCAGAGCCTTAATTTGCCTACGGCCTCTTTAAGGACCGAGGCGCTTCCGGTAGCCTGGGCCTTAACTGTGCTGCGTGCTTTTCTGGTCCGCTCTTGTCTGTCGCTCGCGCTTCCCGCTATGCCCGAGCCGGCAAAATCCGCTCCCGCGCCCAAGAAGGGCTCCAAGAAAGCGGTCACCAAAGCCCAGAAGAAGGACGGCAAGAAGCGCAAGCGCAGCCGCAAGGAGAGCTACTCCATCTACGTGTACAAGGTGCTCAAGCAGGTGCACCCCGACACCGGCATCTCGTCCAAGGCCATGGGCATCATGAACTCCTTCGTCAACGACATCTTCGAGCGCATCGCCGGCGAGGCCTCCCGCCTGGCGCATTACAACAAGCGCTCGACCATCACGTCCCGGGAGATCCAGACGGCCGTGCGCCTGCTGCTGCCCGGCGAGCTGGCCAAGCACGCCGTGTCCGAGGGCACCAAGGCGGTCACCAAGTACACCAGCTCCAAGTGAGTCCCTGCCGGGACACGGCGCTCGCATGAGTCGCCGGCCGCTTGACTCCAAAGGCTCTTTTCAGAGCCACCCACCTTCTCGGTGAAAGAAGCTGTTTTCTCTCTATTCAAAATTCCTTTTCTTTTAATACCAGTTAGTTTCATTTTCTTAGTCGATGTCAGCATTTTCCTTTGAAGGATAAGAAAGGAACCCAAGATGGGACCTGATTCTTTAGCATAGTGGAGAACTAGGTAGAGTACGTGTATTCATTCTGAAAAGTAACAGCTCTAACAGTGAAACGGCTAATGACGCGTGGCAGTCAACGTAAGTCTCAATCAAGATTGTAGAAATTAGTGTTAAAGAGTGTTTACTGTAAAGCAATTAGATTGGATCTGTACTTTGTAATTGCATTTTTCTTGCTCTGGAAGATTCATGTGTTTGTAAAAATGCAAAGCAATACTTTTGAATCCATGCCCGTCTCCTATAGATAATAAAAAGGCCACTTATTTACAATAAACCGTTTTTGTTCAGGTGTTGAGCATTTACACAATTCTCCATAGTTGTAGTTTTGCTATTTTACAATCTGGATAAGGAAGGAAGCAGGAAAGAGGGTTTATAGATGCTCAGGGATTTCCAGATCCTGGGCCTGCTAGTCAGAAAATGTCCAGAAACTTACATTGTTAAAACTGTTAAGTCTTAAAATGTTTGTCACTTGCTTGGAAGTGACATTCATTCTCTTACTCTCTGAAAATAGAGCCCCTAAATATTAGAGAATAAAAAGGGCTTTCTCCATTTTTAAGACTAGACGTTTAAAAGTAGTCTTCTTGGGGCGCCTGGGTGGCTCAGTCGTTAAGCGGCTGCCTTCGGCTCAGGTCATGATCCCAGGGCCTGGGATCAAGGCCCACATCGGGCTCCCTGCTCGGTGGGAAGCCTGCTTCTCCCTCTCCCGCTCCCTCTGCTTGTGTTCTGTCTCTCGCTCTTGCTGTCTCTCTTTCAAATAAATAAATAAAATATAAAAGCAGTGCTTCTTAAACAGTCCAAAGGCCATAGGACCCTCAATCAGTCAGTTTATCCCTAAAGCCACACATATTTCCCCCGAACCCAGATCATGGGCACTGGGGGTGAGAGGCCAGGATGAACAACCTCTGGAACACTCCAGGTGATTCACATGTTTGATAACCACTGACATACTGGCTATGTAGTTGCAGTATTACTTGGTAAGAACCTGTTCGCAGTTTTCAGTCACCACCCAGATAGTTCTTCCTTTTTCCTAAATTGTCCTTTCCCAGAATTGTTTTTAATACTACATACAAAATTAGTTTCATTTATTCCTTCATTAATTCAGGGCACCAGATATAGCATAGGACTTTGCCTTTGTACCTTTATTAGTGTTTGAAAACACATTTTAAAGAGGTCAAGAACAGAAGATAAGGTACTAAAATAAAGCTGTAAAACTAAAACTTCCTGGAAAAAAATGTCAAGAACACTACAGGTGTCCTAGCCCATCCCCTTGTGTAAACTCTTTTTCTCATGTACGTGCATAAAATCCCAAATATTATCCTCCGGCATGATTTTTATTACCTCCTGTCTGCCCTGCCCAATTAAAAAACAATAACTTATTTCCTAGAATTCTACTGAATCCATCCCTTCTTTCCAATGGTTAGACCCCAGGAAACATTTTCCTGCTTTTGCACATGCCTGTGCTTGATCTACTAAGAGATTAGGCAGAAGGCTGAAGCGTGGAGATGGGGAGGAGAAAAGAAAATAGGGAAGGTTTGAGTTTACAGGGAGGAATATAATGAAAACATTTTAAGAGGCACACAGGATGTTGGGCACATGCCGTAATTACATGTTGGGGAGGTAGTCCCTACCATTTGGTTCTGAGGATTCTCCGAATATGGGTAGGAAAGCCAAAAACAGTTAATTCTTAAAGGTGGAGGTGGCTTAGTGTAACTATATTATCTATCAATCGTTCCCTTTAGCACCAAAATTTACACTTACAAATGTGACATCTGTTCAGGCTCCACTATGAGTATTTGTGCACACCATTTCCTGCAATAAAGGAGAGGGGGAAAAAACATATTTTGTACCCTCAGATAAGTAAAACATACTGGGGATGCAGTAGTAAACAGACAAGAAAAAGAGCCTGTCCACATAAGGCTACATGTTAGTTGGTGGATGCTGAAAACAAGCAAATGAAAGAAATGTATAATAGTATAATATTTAGGGAATGATATGTGCTATGAAGTACAACAGAATATGGAATACAGTGTTGACAACAGGCCTGATCAGTTAATATTTGAGCAGAGGCCTGAATAAAGATAGTGAACCATAGCCTATATTGGAGAAGAGTAGTCTAAGAACTGGAAAACAAGTGCAAAGGCCCTGAGGCAGGCACAGGTTTGGGGAGTTCAAGGAATAAGCAATGCTAGTATGGCTGAAACACAGCCAGCAAAGGAAATATCTGCAGGGACAAGAGATCAGGGAGGTAGTTGAGGATCAGACCATGTAGGCCATAGAGAGGCCTCATAGGCCATTACAAAGATTTTGTCTTTTATTCTAAATGAGTTGGAGTGCCTTTGGAGAGTTTGATCAGGGTAATGACATTATTTGACTTGTTTTTTTTAAAGCTCCCCCAGGATGCTATGTTAAAAAATAGACTAGGAGAGCAAGAGTAGTAGCAGGAGAGAGATAGGTGGTATCAGTGGAGATCTGAGAAATAGTGAAGATATATATATATATATATATATATTTTTTTTATTCATGAGAGACAGAGCGAGAGAGAAAGGCTGAGGGAGAAGCAGGCTCCCAAGGAGCAGGGAGCCCGATGCGGGCCTCGATCCCAGGACCCTGAGATCATGACCTGAGCCGAAGGCAGACGCTCAACCATCTGAGCCACCCAGGCGCCCAGTGAAGATATATTTTAATTGAAACTGATGAACTGAATGTAGGTTATGACAGGAGAATAATAAAGGATTAATTGCAGGTGTTTGGACAGAACACTCGGAAAGAGCTGCTATTTACTGACATGAGTGACGAGTAGGTTTGGAGGGAGAAATCCAAGAGTACTGTTTTGGACAAAATTGTGAGACTCCTGGTAGCTATCCGAGCGGAAATATCAAGTAGGAATCAGATAGGAAAGATCAAATTCCCAAATGGGAATATGAAATATGATAATCTGGAGTTCAGGGAAGAGAAAGGGGTTAGGTATAGAAAGTCTGATTCTTGCTCTTTTGTAGATGATCTACCATCTCTTTCTGAAAGCACTTAGAATCACTATAACATGTCAAGATATGTTCTGTCACTGGAAATAACTTAGCTTTGGTCTCAGTATTTGACTAAACTCCCCTATCCAACTTCAGTTTCAGTCTCAGACTTTAGAAGACAGAATAACCAAATGTCTAAGCCAATGTGATTTGAGCATCCTTGGACTAGTGCAATCACTTAAGTCACTATTATCTTTAATGAGTAGAGCAAGTATGATGAGCAAGAGATAACATTCAGAGTTCTAGTTAATAGATGGATGATCACTCTATAAACATACATAAGCCCTTTAATGAGGTGAAAAATCTTACATGTTCATGTTGAAATTGTATCAGTTAACATAGATTTATTTTATTGCAAAAATAAAATGGATGATAATGTCTATGAAAGCTGTTTCTGTAGTATTTAAAGTCTTTAATCATAATTTTTAAAAAATTTCTCAAGGAGGGGGAGTTCAAACCTACAGAAAAGTTGAAAAAATAGTAGATCTTCAACCATATCTTCATCTCGAGTCACCAGTTGTTACTATTTACTGCATTTGCTTTATCACTTTTTATGCACACTTACACATTTTCTGAACAATTTGAAAATAAATTGTAAACATCTTGACACTTCTCCCTAAACACTTTAGTGTGTCTCCCTTAAAAATAAAGATATTCTCCTATATAACTATATACCATTATTATACGCAACAAATTTAATACTGACTTAATAATATTAAGTTATATAAAATCCATATTCAAACTTCTTCAATTGTGAAAAAAAAATATCCTATATATAGCTGTTGTATTAGTTTCCATGACCTAACTGGAAATATGCTTTGCAGCTGTAAGAAATTGCAGTTGAGGGGCGCCTGGGTGGCTCAGTCGGTAAGCGTTTGCCTTCGGCTCAGGTCATGATCCCGGAGTCGTGGGATCGAGCCCCGCATCGGGCTCCCTGTTCTGCGGGAAGCCTGCTTCTCCCTCTGCTGCTTCCCCTGCTTGTGTTCCTCTCTCGCTGTGTCTCTCTGTCAAGTAAATAAATAAAATCATTCATTAAAAAAAAAATTACAGTCGATCCTTTTTTGTGTGTGTGTGAAGCGTTCTTTGTTTCTGAAAAGAATGCATATACAAAGAATTGAGACATGAGAAAGCATTGGTTCAACACTAATGAATCTACAAGAATTAGGATTTGGGGAAGGTGGAGATTATCTAAACGTTTTCAAAAATTGGAAACTGCAACCAAAATAAGTGGATAAAATCCCTATTAACACTTAATGAAGAGTCTTCATAAGACTCCATGACTTTTTTACTAAACTAGAGAGCCTTAACTAGCTACTCTAGGGTTCCTCATATGCAAAACAGAAATAAGGGGATTCCCCTGACTGGTCCCCATGTTGTTAAATGTTCTCCCCACCCTCACCCCCAGCTTCTTCATGAAGCAGGTCTCCATCTTCCCAACTTGAAAGATGTGCATCATTCCACAGACGTCTGTCTCCTAGCGCCACCCCTCACATTTCCTCCATTTACCAGGTCTTCAGCTGTGTTCTAGGAACACCGTATCATACACTATGCTGAGCATACAGGACAATGACTGACGGGAAAAAAATGTTTTTTAATTATGTACTCAATCCATTTGGTGTATTTCAAAAGGCGCAATACTTTTCTTCATTTATCAGTGAGTTAGAAATTAACTTCAAAAAAAATCAGCAAATGGCAAACAAATTTCCTTGAAAGTCACAGTCACATGTATAGTGCATCCTAGAAAAGAAGAGGGGCAGGCAGGTTCCACCCACTTTCGTAAGTTTCATCAAATACTGGACCTACTCAAGGGTAAAGAGAAAAGGCAACTTTCAAAAAGGAATCTGTTATTATTTACTATACTCCTTCCTAAGAGCACCAGATGGGGAACAAGTTTTCTAAACTAGATCTAGGAAGTGGAACGTGGAATCAATCCATCCTCCTCCCCTTAAGGGCTGTCCAATGGTTAATGAATTTAAAAAAACATGACTAAATAAAAACAAACGCCCACACACACACTTCCCACATCCCACCCCTCCCCACAAAAAAAAAAAACGGGCAAAAAAAGGAAAATTAAAAAAAAAACAAACCTAAATGTCCCAGATCATTCTCCAGAGTGAATGGAGCCCCGGAGCAGCTTCAACAACCCAAATTAGTCTGTTACGGAGTCATCACAAGCATGCCTTGCTTTTAAACGAAACAAAAATTTTTTTGAAACAAAACAAAAACTAGTATTAATCACTTTTCTGACAAT